GGGGGGGGGGGGGGGAACAGGCCCAGACCCAGTGGGGAGGGGAGGAACAAGCCCAGACCCAAACTGGCAGGGGGAAGGGGGAATAGGCCCAGAGCCATAGGGAGGGAGGGAATAGGCTCAGACTCAAATTGGCAGGAGGGAGGTGGGGGAATGGGCCTGGACCTGAACCGGGGAGGGGAACAATGAGCTGGGACCCAAAGGTGGGGCAGAACCAGATGTGGGTCTGTGTCCCTGCCACCCATCATTCTTGACAGGCAATTTGCTAGTGTATATTATGTTAACATGAATCTAAACTTATTGAACTCTATGCATAAAAAATGCTACTCCCACTCAAAACAAACGAAAATAAACAAAAGCAAGAAAAGCAAAACAAAACCCAGAAGCGGCAAAAATGTACAAAATTGCAAATGGAGACTCTATCAGATGTTTTCCTTAACACATAGTTACTTTCATACATAAAAGTCAATAATTACCTTCACATGCACTGAAAAGCAATAATAAAACCAGAGCAACCATGACTCTGCCTATAGTGGTTATATGCTTATGCTTTATATGCTTATAAAAATACTGTATTTCTTCTCTCACACAGCATGCCCCCAAATATTAAATGACCCTTGTTTTTGAAAGGCAGAATGAAGAAAAAAGATTTTTCCAGTTATTCAGAGGCTAAACTTTAGTTGACTCACTCTCCCTTCCCTACGTAACTAAAACTGAATTCCTAGATGCTGAAGACTGGTCTCTGTGGATGGATTATGATTTTGAAAAAGAGCTAAAGAGTCTGTGCTGAACAGCTAAAGAGTCTGAGAAAAAGAACTTAAAGAGGCTGTGAAGAGAGAGACCAGGAGCAGCTAGCAGACAGCAAAATTACACAAAGAAAGGTTAGCTTGAGTAATGGGACATCAAGAACATTAAAAAGGAGAGACAACTGTTAATACATGTAGAGTGAAGAGCAATGATCCATTAAGTCAACTGTATCCCTCAGCTGCCTGAACAGTAATACCAAACCTGCTGCATTGTAGAGCAGGAATCAACCCCAAGCAGGAAATCAGCTTCTCCGCTTAATACACACGGTCCTGATACCCTGATATTTGGTGGAAAGGAGCATTCTATATATGAGGAAAATATGGTATTCTGAGAAATATTAGCTCACAACATACCAAGTTTTATCGATAGTTTACAAAATGTTTCAGCATAAACTTCAGCAGAGAAACTACTGAAGTCATTTAGAAGTGAGATCACTGGAAATGTGTACAAGAATATGCTGTACACTACAGGTTTAGGGTCAAAATGTACACTGCTTTATGCATACTGCAAACACTAATATCTGAACTCAAAGATTCCTATAAATGTCTTCAAGGGTGGGTTGGTCAGACTAAGTCAGCTGTTTGTTCTGTGTTGCTTAGAGCTAGCAGAAAAAGGTTTAATGGAGTTTCAATAGTTGAACCCCTTTTAATTCCATGGAAATGTATTTCTTGCTGTAACACAGGGCTGTCTAACTTCTAAGTGACTGGGGGCACATGCCGTGTGGGCCACACCAGCAGGAGCTGCATGCCATACATGCTGCACCAGGTCATGCTGCTGGCTCATAGGCTTCATGCTGTGAGGAATCCCCCTGGCAGGGGCAGGAAGCAGGAGCCAGGGGAGGGGAAGAGAGCCCAGAGACTCCAGGTGCTGTTGCAGCCAGAGTGATGGGGGGAGCAGTGGCCAGGCAAGAGCTAGGGTACCTGAACTTAACCCCATGGAGGCCACATGTAGCCCTCGGGTTGCCTGCTGGACAGTTCTGCTGTAATATGTATAAAAAAATAGAGCGACTTAAAGTTGGAGACACATTTTTACTTTAAAAATGGAATTCAACTACCTTATTTCATGTTAGCTAGGCTTTGTGTTTTAAATGTTCCTTTTTTAAAATTACTACTTGTATTTAAATGTATTGAGTGAAATATAGAAGTGATTTTTAAACTTTGAAGATTAGCAGGGGAGGCTACTATGACACCAGCAGTACACTTGGATAGCCAATAGAATTGATTGAGAGAGCTGATTTTAAACAACACATATATACAATCCTCCCATTATGGTAATGAGAGATCTGTTGTGAAATCAGTTACTCATGATTAGCCTTGATGTGAAACATACGCTGTATTGTCCTGCCATTCTAATAAGAGGGAAACCACCCGCATATGTATAATTCCAGTATTGCACTAATGGGGTGAGCTTGTCTGAAAACAGCTGTGTAGAGTCTTGGTATTATGATTGGACCTATCCTTTCATGATCCAAAGGCCACAACACCTCGTAGTCCATTCATTATGGTAGCATGGTAGGCAATGTGAAACCTACATGTGAAAAATTTCTTCAGCATGTAAATTCAGGGTCTCCCTAAAACTGTTCTTGAAACACTACAGAGATTGATGTGTGTGGAGCATCTGAGATTTTGTCAATGTTAATTTAGATGCAGTGGAGGAACTCTATGAAATCAATGAAACATTAAAAAATGACTCACTTTGAAATGCTTGCAGTAGTCAGCATAACTGCTTTACCATTTCAGAGAAAAAAGATGCAAGTAGGTGAGCACAGAATTGAAGTGAATAGGAGGACAAGCTCTTTTTACTCCTTTCCCAAAGCACCAAAAGAAGCCATACATAAGAAATATCAACCTCAGATTTCAGGACACGATGCAGCTGCCTATGGGTAGGAAGAAACCTCTCTCTTATTCCTGTTAATATGTTTTGGGTTTGCCTGTTCCTCTGAGTCATCTGGTACTAATTGCTATTGAAGACAGTTGCAGAACGAATGGCCTGGTTCATTGTGGCAGTTTTGATATTCCTACATGCAGCAGTAAGGCTGAAGACATATTTTCACTAGTAGCAAGTCAACTGAGGCATTTCTAAGAGTAATTGTGGCATTTAAGGTCACCGTGCCATTCATATGGTATCTAGCAAAGTGGAAAAATGTGTCAACTTTTGGGTACTTTCAGAGCTGAACCCAGAGTTTTTGCAGTGGTCTATCTGTGAACATCTGAACCTGGGGCTTTGCAAATCACTCTGTTTCTGGACTGCATCTGTTTTGCTCTTGACCTTTATAAGAAAGGCTAGAGAAGTGAGCCAGCCAAGAAAGCTGGCTACCAAAGACCTCACAGTCTTCCTGCGATTTCACAATCCCTACTTAGTGTTAGAGTTCACCCCAGTGAAACCCAAGGAGGAAAAGAAACAGGATGATCATTCTCTAACTAAAAAGCTGCCTTATATTTATATTCTGGATCCAAACAGAATTTGAATTTGATTCTTCTCTCACTTTAATCAATTCTATGCCACTGTAAATTCTGGCAGTGGTGAAAGGTGAGCAAACATGCTGCTTGTGGGTTTTATTTATGCTGTTTTGGCACCTGGTCAGATGAATATGAGTATTTGACAGTGCATTGCTTTGAAAGCTCAGACGTTATGCTGTCCTGCTCTATTTAAAAATGATTTGGTTAGGGACTTTTCAGAAAAGTTGGACATATACAAGTCCATGTGGCCAGATGGGATGCACCTAAGGGTGCTGAGGGAATTGGCTGATGTGACTGCAGAGCCATGGGCAATCATCTCTGAAAACTCATGGCAATCAGGCGAGGTCCCAGATGCTTGGAAAAGGACAAATATAGTGCCCATATATAAGAAAGAAAAAGGAGGATCCAGGGAACTACAGACCAGTCAACCTCACCTCAGTCCCTGGAAAAATCATGGAGCAGATCCTCAAGGAATCCATTTCTAAGTACTTGGAGGAGGAGAAGGTGATTAGGAACAGTCAGCATGGATTCACCAAGGGCAAGTCATGCCTAACCAACCTGATTGCCTTCTATGATGAGATGACTGGCTCTGTGGACACGGGGAGGACAGTGGATGTGGTGTACCTTGATTTTAGCAAGGCTTTGATAGTCTTCCACAACATTCTTGCAGGCAAGCTAAGGAAGTATGGGCTGGATGAATGGACTGTAAGGTGGACAGAAAATGGGCTGAAGCATTGGGCTCAGAGAGTAGTAGTCAATTGCTCGATATCTAGTTGGCAGCTGGTATTAAGTGGAATGCCCTGGGGATCTGTCCTGGGGCTGGTTTTGTTCAATATCTTCATTAATGACCTGGAAGATGGAATGAAGTGCACCCTCAGCAAGTTTGCAAATGACATCAAGCTGGAGGGAGTAGTAGATACCCTAGTGGGTAGGACTAGGATTCAGTGGCATAGACAAATTGGAGAACTGGGCCAAAAGAAATTTCATAAGGTTCAACAAGGACAAGTGCAAAGTCCTACACCTAGGACAGAACAATCCCATGCACCAGTGCAGGCTGGGGGCTGACTGGATGGGCATCAGGTCTGCAAAAAAGGACCTGGGGGTTACCGTGGACAGTAAGCTGAAGATGAGCCAACAGTGTGCCCCTGTTGTGAAGAAGGCTAACGGCATCCTGGCCTGCATGGTAGGAGTGTTTCCAGAAGGTCAAGGATGACCGCCGTTCTATTCAGCACTGGTGAGGCCACCACTGGAGTACTGTGTTCAATTTTGGAGCCCCCACTACAGGCAGGATGTGAACAAATTGGAGAGAGTCCAAAGGAGGGCAACAAAAATGAGGAGGAGGCTAGGGGACATGACTTATGAGGAGTAGCTGTGGGAACTGGGCTTATTTACTCTGAAGAAGAGAAGACTAATAAAGGATTTAGTAACAGCCTTCAACTACCTGCAGAGGGGTTGAAAGAGGGTGGGGCTAGACTTTTCTCACTGGTCTCAGGTTACAACAAGGGAAGTTTAGGTTAGACACTAGGAAGAACGTTCTCACTAGGAGGGTAGTAAAACACTGGAACAGGTTACCCAGAAAGGTGATGCAAGCTCAATCCTTGGAGGTTTTCAAGACCTGGCTAAACAAAGCTTTGGTTGGGATGATCTAGTTGGAGGTGGCCCTGCTTTGAGAAGAGGGTTGGACTAGATGACCTCTTGAGGTCCCTTCCAGCCCTAATTTTCTGTGATTGTATGATTGTTTTCAGAGAGAGAGAAACACGTGAAGTGCATGGAAATACATGTGCTCTTCCTGGGTTCTAAAATTGCTTATAGCTCCCAACGGGGGCTTTGTGAGAGCACATGCCAGAGAAGTGATGGCCTCAGTTGTGTCTATGTTCCAATCTCCATCTTTGTTTAATAAAACTAGTCTCCTAGCTCCAACATTCAACTGAATCCACACAGCAAAAGGAGAGAGAGGTAACATATTTGCCTGGATTATGGTAGCATAAAAAAACCCCAAACACGTACTGTAATAAACAGTATGAACCAGAGACACCCTGTTGATACAGTGCTCTTCGTGTTGCTAGGTGGTGCACAATGGCAGAACTGGGTCCAACTAGCCACTGAGAATTCCCCCTGGCATAAGGGAGCTCTCAGCTGCCATCAAGCAATGTAATTATCTCTTGTGTCAATTCTCTCCATGCACCTTGGCATACAGGGCACGTAAGGGGCTTAAAAGGGTATGTCTAGGCTAAGGCAGGGTGATCTGGACTCTACCAATTGTCTACCGGTGTATAGGCTCCTAGGGACCATAACAGGTTGTTTTCTGCTCTCAGTTCTGCCAGGGTAGGGGCCAGGACAGCTTGAGTATCAGGTGGCTGTGACCAGTTCATTGACAGCATCCCTGCTTGCACTAACTGGTTCGTCGTGCAGGAGAGGATCGAGCCAGTATTTCTTGGCTTCCTTCTGGACATTTGCTCTAGTTTCCCAGGGCATGTAGCCTGTTCATCTTGTCCTCTCAGTATCATCTTTCTCTTACCTTTGCCTGTATTGCAGCATCTCCCTTTTAGGTACTCTGTCAGTCTAGACTGTAAACTCTTTTTTATGTGTTGATATTTATAGCAAATAACACTAACTGAAAGAGAGGTTTCATTCTCTCACCTCCCTCTGATTTGGGTCCTGGGAGCTGATAGGCAGACTCCCCACCTGTGAAAACAAAGTCACAACTACAGGTTGTTTCCAGCGATACTAACTCAAAACCAGAACTACCGATTTTAAATACCAGGCATTAGCCTCCACAGGCCTTTGCAGCTCCAGTAGCACTGGCTCCGCCTTTCGTTTTATACCCCACTCCTTAAAATAGTCATGTGAATGGCAGGAATCTGTAACCCCTTACAAACCTCAGACCTGGAAAGCACATAAAGGCATGTTGAAAGTTAAGCCTACACTTCAGTCCTATTCTTAAATAGATATGGTATTTTTTTTTCTGAATCTGCGCCTTAAGTGGGAGCAGAGAGGGCTGAGCACTCTACTAGGTTGGCCTAAAGTGTTTAAGTTGCTTTGGGGCCAACACTGTATTGGTCTCTGCTGTTGCAGCAACTAAATCTTTGCTACCTAAGCTCAGTGCTGAAATATTAAGTCTTGCATAGCTGTATTAGCTCAGTTTACCTTTCTGTTCCAAAAGAGGTTTAGCACTAATTGACCAGAATTCAAACCAGCCTTCTCTCTCGGTTATGTGGTACATTACTGGTAATTGACCTGCTTTCCTGGCAGCGAGGGTAGATACTCCAGCCAGCATACACTGTATGACTGTATCCTATAATTACTGAGATTTAAGCCC